AAAACACAATAGAGTTTGTATATTTTAGCTTTAATTATATAATAGTAGCTATAACAAAATATAAATTTGGTTTGTATGAAAATTTGAAAGTAAAATTAAAATACTATCCTCCGTTTTTTTAATCGCAACATGTTGATTTTTTGCACTGTTCACATGATGTACTTTGACTACATTTTACACTATTATTTTATGAAAATTATATTTTTAAAAAAATATTTTTCAATTCATCTCATTACAAATTTTCAAAATCTGATTTTTAATAATTTTTTATTAATAGAGATTAAGATATACTTACGGTCAAATGTGTGCGTTGACAAATGTGCAAACGTTGACTGTTGCAATTAAAAAAAGAACGAAGGAAGTAAATAATAAGGTATCATAATAAACTCTATGTATGTCATAATGAAATTAATGATAGTGTAATTATTAGGAAGTCTCATAAAAGTGCAAAACATAAGAATCATAAATGTTTATACTGTACACAAATTATTATAAATTTTCAAAAACTTCTTTATAGATCACATTATTAGTGATGTTGATTGAATGATAGGACGACCCTCCTTATATTACATATAAGAATCTATAACTCACTTCTTAAGGTGACCATTGACATGAAAACGTACAATTGGTCGAGCATAAAACAAATTTGGAAAGATATATGCCAACTTGATGCTAAGATTGTCCTTGGCATTTGTTTTTCGTCATGGTAAATGAAACGACGATTGAGAATTGTCTGTGTTGAAATTTGAAAGGAATTATGATGTCCAACGGGACTAATAATAACCGTGGAATCAAAACCCTTTGACGAATACTTTTGCCGGATATCACCTCTAAAACACATTTTTACCAATGAAGTAATAATCAAGCGGGTCTCATATGTAAGCGAGAAAAGTGGTCAATGTTTCTCAATGGTTAATTAAGATAATATGAACATCAATCTTTAGTCTTAATATATGGTTCGATATTTCTGATGTGATGGTGTTGAAAACTCTTGAGTATGCACTTTATCAAAGTTAGAGTCAGTGTTGCCTTGAAGTAAGTATTGGTTGTAAAACTCAAATATGTTTTTATTTCTCTAGGCATGAATGAAATCATATAATTATTAATAAGCACTACAACATCACTTGTAGTGTCAAAATAGCTCTTTGATGAAAATATAATGGATGAACCATATTCTTACGAAATGGGGGATAAGTGCTAACAACAATAAAATTAAAGCAATAGAATCACCTCAAGTGGTAATAAGCATATCATCGGGTATATCAATGACGACCTCTCCATCTCCGACATTCCCAGAGTTCCATTTCCTATTTTGAACATCAAATTTGAGAAACTTTTCAATTCGTCAACATTATAATGCGAAATTCCACCTTGCAACATTGTTTTTGTTAAAGTGAGTACGTGATAATCTATCCAAATATATGAGGCATTAAAATACCACAAACAACCACTTCTCTTGATGAATTTCGTATAACTGGGAGTATTTTCCTTACATCACCGCCGAGCTGTGTTCTAAAAGGTGGCAAAAGGTAGAACCTACGCGTGCCTAGGCATGAGGCGGCGGCGGAAAAACGTCTCACATAGTAGAAAGGTGTGAAAAAGGCGGTCAACTAAACAGTCGACCACCAAAGACATGAAAAGGTGTAACCCTAGGCGTGAAAAGGAGGAATTAATTTAGATTTTTTTTGCAATTTAAAAATTTATTAAACGTAATAATGTATTTTAATAAATATGTTTTATATGGAATCTAATAAGGAGTATCTAGTTAAAAGCAATTTGTGTTTGCACTTTTTATACATTTAAAGATTATACACATTGACCAAAGTAAAAAAATTAGGCTTGTAAATTTGTATGAGTTATTTTGAGTGCAAAGTCATGATCTCTTAAGTTTAAAAATTGGCATCCTTTACTTTTGACATAAATTTGTAGGTTACATGTTTGTAAACATCCTTTATTTTTGTAGGTTACAATTGTAGACTAAAGGTGTGATCTCATAGAGTTAGTATGACTAAAGTTACTATTGTAGGTTACAATTTTGTAAACATCCTTTATTTTTGGCATAAATCCGTAATTATTTCAATTTTATTTCCTACTATTATTTTTATAGGAGTTATATATTGTGTAGCTGAAACTTTCCCTCTTCACGTGTGAAAATGTATGATTTCATCCTCTTAAAATTAATATTTCACGTGTAACCATTGTAATTCTCATATGGAGTATTAAATCATTACTCATATTAATTAATGTAACTCATTCTATTTATGTTAATAAGATTCTATTTCCATTTTGCAATCAATTTATTTGGGCTGCACTTTTAATAGTGTGCAATACACCGTACTAAAAGTACAAAACAATTTGGTAAACTTGGTAATTAAGTATTTCATGTAGAGATGGTAATGGGGCGGTTCGGGGTGGGTATACATATAACTGTAACTGCCCCATTGGGTAATTTACATTCACCGAAATTGCTTCGTTACCCGTTCGGTTATTTTTACCCGAACTGTACCCGTTTAAATGGGTAACGGGTTTACCCACGGGTAACCGTTTGATCAAATACCTCCATTGTTATTTGCTATTGCTATACATGGGGGTTTCAATCAATGACCTAAAAATCAATAAATAACTGATAAACAACACAATTAAAGTCAAATACTTAATCATCATAACAATATAACACTACAAAATCAATTAAACTTAAACATCCAACTGATCCAAAACCTTGAAGTGCATAAATCTGTAAATGAAATTGAGTATTGCAAAGTAGCAATACAAAATCACAGCAACTCATTCCAAACAACCAAAAATCTCATGTTTTAAACCAACAATAACAAAACAGTAAAATAAATGAGTACAACTACACATCAACTCATTCCAAACTTCTCATTCCAAACTTCGAGTATGGCAACACAACAATATTTAAACCTGCAATGAGTAATAAAAAAATGTTAGCTGGTTTGCCAAAAAATAGTAAGTGATTAGAATGTCAGGCATAAAAATACATACCCGCGCACAAAAAACGAGAGCCCGGGAGCCGGGACCTAGTACGGATTGTCTAATAGTAGTGGCTCCAAAAGTCAAAACTTTTTCTAACTCTTAATTATTGATTACATTATTCACAAGCAGCCTGACTGCCTTTGGGGAGGGGGAGGGGAGGGGAAGGGGTCAAGGTTAACTACCTAAATTAACCTCAACTACAAAGAAATTGGTATGGAAGAATATTGATTTCTTTATGAACAATAGGAAAATATTAAAAAAATAAAAAACAAGCTATAAGATAATAATAGATACCTTTTCTGCCATTTCGCCAGGTTCATACAAATCAATATCATCTTCATATATTGCAGCATAACCATCTGAAACAAATGGCCCTTCTTCATCTATAGGATAAAAAAACAGAATTAGTCAAGTATAAAAACAAAAAAATGGAAACTAATTACAGACCTAAATATGTTTGTGATACTTAGTTACCTTTGATATTGTTCAGAGCGGCATCCGGAAAATTATACTCCTGACAATATTTTAATTGATTCAGGAGTATGTTAAATGGTGATAAAGGCATAAAGTTGTGATTTGAAAACCGACTTGATGATTCTAAAGTTTAATAAAAAACTTTAGTATTAGCCCCAATAGCCATAATAGCCCCAATTTGCTGAACTATACTATAGTCATTAACTAGGAGAACATGTGAACCCTAATAGTATTACTTTTTTAGAGTCGACACAATTACACAAAATGAAATACATATAACATATCATTTAGAGCAATTAATCAAAGCAATCATGGTTAATCAAAGCAATCGTGGTTAATGATTGTGCTTAGTTGCTTACCGGTAATGTCGAGTTCGGAACTACGCTAGTAGCGTGGACGAAGGTCGAGCGGACAACGCGGTCAACGGACGTGCGGTCCTGGAGGCGAGGTACGGTGGTGCAGCATCGGCGAGGCAGGATGACGCTTGTGGCTGGCGGTTCATTGGGTTTGGTCGAGCGGCGTGACCCTTGTTCTTCCCGATCTAAGTCTGTCTTACCCAGTTACCCTCTTACGTTCTGTTCTTCTTCCCGACTCACGTTCCTCTTCTAGTCTTCTATTTCCTTATTTTTTGAACCTGGGCTGGCATATATTTGTTGGGCCTTCGGAAATATTAGGCCTTGTGCGGCTGGACAGGCAGCCCCTACCCTTGGCCGAACTGGACATACATAAATATATTAAATATTTAATATGTAATATATGTACGGATCGGATAACGGTGCGGGTAACTGTACCCGAACTAAACAGCGCGGTTACGGGGCGAGTAACGGGGCAAGTACCTATAAAACCGTATCCGCCCCATTACCCGTTTAATAAACCGGGTATTCCCCGTACCCGTACCCGTTACCCAATCAACACGGTTTTCCCCATTTTGACCGGTTCAGTTCGGTGCGAATATCCATCAGGTCAGGTTAAATTGTCATCTCTAATTGCATGCTCAAGTTGGTCGTTCATGATAATCGTATATGGTAATAATATATTTTACAAATAATAATTTACAACTTGACTATTACATATCCATTACTTATTACATATCCATTACTTTTTGGGTGGGAATTTTCCCTCCACTTATTGTAGCAAAACTGCTACTTTATATTATATAAAGAAAGATTCAACTTCAACCGCATAAACTCACTTTTTTTAATGATCGCACTACTCGCTCTTGCCTCATTGTTAGTGGAACGGAGTGACATAGGTAGTATTAAAGAAATAAACAAGGACTGTCTATCGATATACGTAGTACTCCCTCCGTCCCGTTGGAATGTTCCCAGTTTGACCTACACACATATTAAGGAAATAAACTTACCATGGGGTAAATTTTATTGTTTTGACACTGTTTCGACACTGTTTTGCACTGTTTGACCCTGTTTTGATGTAGGATAACTTTCCATTTAGGGAAATGGGAACTTTCCAACGGGACATCCAAAAAAGGAAAGCGGGAACATTCCAACGGGACGGATGGAGTATTAATTAAGAATTACAATACTCCGTAGTCAGTGGGATTATTACAACGTAATATAAGGATAAAGAACCAACAAATGCACAGAATACTATTAATTACAATGAAGCAACTTTCTAAACTGATACACTAAAACTGCTCTCTACAACAACAATAAAATTATTTTTCAAATTATGTTTTAAACAATGGATCATGCTAATGATCCTCAAGAATTAACTATATCACCTTGAAATCTGGTTACTTCTTGATAATATAAGTTGATACATTAGAGTAAATGGCGGTCACACTAGTCCCAACTGCAAACACAATGACCAATACCGCCAGCATCTTATCCTGCTTAGTACATGTTTTATGAACATCTCTGCAAAACATATTCACAAATTATTTACACAATATTACAAGGACTAATAGAAGTCCATCCATCCCTAAAGAATAGTTTTACTTTTAGTGGTTTTCCTTTTGTAAGGTACAACTTCTTAGTTGTATCAAGATATAAAATTCTACAAAAAATAGTTCTACTTTTAGTGGTTTTCCTTTCAATATTACTAATATAACAGTAGTGGACGAAAATGTTACTACTCTTTAAATATTCCATAAAAACTAAATATGACACAATTAGTATGCCACAGTGACCTCACCACTGCAAGTTACATTGCCAGTGACACCTTTTGTTCATTTAACTAGATTTATCATACTTAACTTGTTTTTATGATTAATTAAAATCGCATGAAAAAATAGTTTAGTATGATCAAATAAGTGTCTTATTATTATATATCAAAAGATAAAACTTTGGAAAAACCCTAAAAGTCATCAGTTATTCAGTTTCTATTCACCACATGAAGAAAATATTGAGGTATGCATACCTAAGAATTATCAAGCTTGGGAAAATGAACATGATGCACATGACAGTGGTTGTTCCCATGAACTGAAAGAAGTACCATATATTTGGGATGGAAATAGCAGCAACATACATGAATCCAAGAAGCACGCCAGTGAGAGTTAAAAACCTAGCAGTTTTGGTAGACAAAAGGGGTCCTTTTGGGAACAAAAGTTCATTCACATTAACTCTAAGAGAATAATTCATGATTGGAAACACCAGCATGAGATGAACTGCATAACTCAGCCGAACAATGGTGTTCAGCAATGAGTGAATGAAAGAATCAGACTTTTGATCAAAGTTGACTAGCATGTCTGCCATGATTGTGTCCCCAAATAGCAAATACCCAAAGAAGCCCACAGCAAAATAAATGGCAACACATAGCACTAAGGATATCCGGACTGCCGAGGTCATGTCAGATGGCCTGCCGAGTTCTGCTCTGATTGGATGAACTGCAGGATTAATGGGAAAAGAAGTTAATATGGCTGTGTTCAAGAATCTTGACTTTTGTGAATTAACAATAAAATATCCTAGCATTAGGCCTTTGTTTGTTTCTAGAGTAGGGAAGAGAAAGATGGGGAGCAAAGCAATCAGAGAGAAATGTGGAGGGTGGGGAAAGAAAGCGGGCCCATCTTTCCCACCATATGCTCACATTCTGTTTTTACATTTCAGTAGAGCTTGTTAGGGGTGGTTTTGTCATTCTAAAAGTTACACACTGCTTCCCTTTCTATTTCTCTCCTACAAAACAAGGCACAATATCTACCCATCTCTCTCTTCCCCTGTTTCTAACCCTTTCTTTCTTCTCTATTTCTTCCTTAAACCAAACAAAGGTTAACTATTACAGTATTTTGATACGGGAAGAAAAAAGTGCAACTACTTTCTCAAATTTCAAAAAATGGTGTTCCCATTTATGTAGGCAGGACAGCTCTTACTGTTCACATGGCATCCAAAGGCTGTGGCGAATACTGGGATGGTAGTGAAGAGATAAAAAAAAGAGACTCCATTTGAGAAGTCAGGAAAAAGCCTTAAACTTTCGGTCTCCCCTTTCCACAATGAATATAATGCCATTCCAGAGCATACAGCAACAAAAAGCACTGCTAGCAGAATAGATATAGCTGATGCATGTCTAAGTGAATCTACAGAAAAAGAAAGTTGAAGAAATTCCACAATAGATTATTAACATAACAACAACAATAACACAAAATGTTTTTACATTATGGCCACATGTTTCATTGACAAATAAATTATTCCCAAGTAGCCTATATAAAACATTTAAGATTTCATCTCAAAAAGTTAATCTGACTGAAGAAGTAGTCTATGACCTTATATATGATTTTCTATTTTTATATTTGGCTGAGATGATATAGTTTAACATGGTGGTCACAAAATCGTAGGTACTCCTGGATTTTTTTTACCAGTCATAAAAGCCCATCGGTGTAATCTTTTCTTAATTAATTTTGTTTCTCTCAAAGAATAGTACAAGGTTTTATATGTGATTTTGTGTTTCTATATTTGGCCAATACGAAGTATGAGATAACTTAACAATCTAGTCACAGAATGTGATAATGCAAAGAAAATTGTGGGTTGACGTGTCATAATAAACTCAACAGTACAACCTTTTCTTAATTACTTTTGTTTCTTTTCTTGATAACTTCTGTTACTTTAAAACATATAGTGATCTACAAAATCTCGTTTGCATCCCATCTCTCTTTGGGGTTATTTGTTTCCTGCTATGGTAAAATCTTACTCCCTCCGTCCCATAAAATAAGTCTCATTTTCCTTTTTGGGTCGTCCCAAAAAATTGTTCCCATTTACCTTTTTGGAAAGTTTTGTGTGGCTAACATTCATTTACCTTTTTCTTACTCAACCACAACCATACATTTCCACTTTATTCTCACTTTGTTAAACTCCGATCCAAATTGAAATAAGACTTATTTTATGGGACGGAGGGAGTATTACAAAAGGATTACTTGGTGAATGTCTAAGGACATTACTGACCTATGCGCCTTAAACAAAGCAAGGGAAGCATAACACAAAGCACCACAACAAGGACAGAAAATGGCCTTGAGGTCCACCAGTGGATGCCAAACCATTCCTGTAGGACACCGAGGTGCCATTTTCCATCAGAATCATTTCCTGACAGCACATCACCTGTGAAAAGAAAAGTAGAAAAGAAGTTCAATAGAAATCAGGAAAAATTAAATTTGAGTATTGAGGGAAGTTGAAAAGTTAAAAGAAGGGGAAGGGGATGTCAACTCTGATCTGCAATGGAATGTGTAGAAAGCATGCAGGACTAAAAGAAATCAGAAGAAGTACTCACAAAACAACATGCTACTGAGGAAACTCTTGTTTCAAGGTAAAGTTAGATTCTTCCCGGGACCACATTGTTTACAGTTTTAACTTTTACAATAAAATCCAAGTTTTCAATGAAACTACTCACCTTAAAGAGCCTCCTAAAGCTTCTAATAACCCAGTCTTAGAGTATCTCTGAATCAAAGATTTTCAAAGTTTAAGTTTTCTTTTTAAGCATTTGGTGTGTTCACACAGCTTAACCGCCATCCAATCAACCTTTTAGTGTGGGCTAACCTAACAAATTTCAAAATAACCTTTATCCACGGGCTAATTTCATATACATAATGATTGTTCATTGTACGATTCGACCCCTTGTGTGATATGTACATCAAAGTGAGCACAAATGACAGTTTTTCCTTTTTACTAAAACTCGTTCACTAAAGGTCATCAATCTTACGAACTTAACTTATCCAAACCAAACCGAGCCTTTAACGTGTAAAGGTGTAACCTTTACATAAGTTTTGCTCAAATTCAAAAGATATATCAGTATTAAGACAAAAATCTATAAGACCCATCTCTTAATTATTATTTACAAAACCTCTCCAAGGGATTGTTGCTAACCTATTATGATTAAATAAATGATAAGGGCGCCAAGGTTAGTAATCAGCACACATATCTGGAGAGCGAGGGACCCAAATCTCCCAAAAGACTCAGCCATCAGTCCACCATAAGAATCAGTCTCGCCGGAGATGGTGAATTTCAAGAGGAAATCGACGGTGACCTCCACAAAATAGGCCACAACCAATATGGCAAAGAGGCTGGGAATGACACCCAAGACCTTAAAAGTTGCAGGGACTGACATAATCCCAGCTCCCACCATGCCAGTGGAGACGTTGAATATAGCACCACTAATTGACCCGCCGGACCTGGAGCCTGCAGCTGAAAGCAGCGGTTTTTCAGCTGCGGCTTCTTCTTGGTTTTCCGGATTCATTTTCTCCTGGGCTGGTCGCGGTGGTCAGTGGCTGACTGATGGGGCGGGTCAATTCTTAATGTCTGAGACGATACAGGTTACTCCCTTGTTCCCGAATAGAATCCCAAACTTTGACGGACACGAGGATTAAGAAATGACAATAAATTATTCTTTCTTTTTACATTTTTTTCCCATTTTTCTAAAAGTAGATGTTTTTAAGTTAATGGAGAAAAAGTAAAAGTAAGGGTAAATTTGTCACTTTATTCTTATTTACATACCTAAAATAGAAAGTGGAAAACCATTTTGGGACAATCAAAAAAGGAAATTTTGTAAATCAATTTGGGATGTAAGGAGTATTTGGGTTGAGGGACCCATGATTCAGATTACCTTCTTCATTCAGGGTACAAAACTGCTTAATGTACATATAGTCGGTGGAGGACCTAAGAGGATTAGGTATAAAGTTAAGGTATAAACCACTACCCGTTTCATGTTTGGAATTTTTATTATAGACTAAGTTTATTATCTAATATGCTCCGCTCTCCCAGATCTCTGGGTCGCCACGTCATATAGTCTATACAAATTGTACACCTATATATATGTCTTTTTCTTTTTTACCCTTTTCCCCTCACTCCTCTTTGATCCAATAATTTTCTCCTCCGTCACTCCCTCTCTCATTCTCTTCTCGCTCTAGTTTCCTTCTTTTTAATTTTTTTTTTCATTTTCAATCTCTAAACTTCTAAACCATTTTCAATCCTTCTCCCCATTTAGCTGTATACACGATTCATTTTTCTCTATTATCGGTCATTCTTCTCGACCCATGAGGTAATATCTATTTCCAATTTTTCTTGTGTGCTTTACATTTTTTTATATATGTGTTCCTATTTTATGAATATTGTGGATGTTATAACCTTGAATAATTGATTAATTCGTTTTATTGTAAGAAATATGAAGTGTTAATTACTGAAATCTTAGGGTTATTACTCTAGTTCATTTATTGCTCATAACATTGATGAGCACTTTGTCGTAGTGCATCAGAATAAATTCAATACTAACACTTATACGTAGTATAGTGAAATAGAGTTCGTATTCACAGGGAAAAGAATAATTCTCTTTTTATGAAGTAGTAAATAAAGAGGGGTTTTGGGGTTTAATGATTTAATTTAATAAGAAACTAAGATGAACAATTTATATGTGTTTTAATTCAAAAATAAAAGGAAGTTGGCTTTGCTACTTTCCACTTATTGATATATTTAGTCGATCCTTGTTATATCTATAATTTATCCCCTCTCGAATACTCAATCGAGGAGTATATTCAATTCATCGAGGGTAGTTATTAACAACGACCGTTCATTAATAACCCTTACTATTAATCAAATATAGAACAACGCCTTATACCGATTTAATAGTAGCATTTAATCTTTCTAACTCCTTGCCGAAATCAATTGAGATTGATAAACTCAACACAACGGTTTCGGTTTAACCAACAAAATTAATCTCTATTAAGTTTATTAACCACGATCGTGCATTAATAAACCGAAGTTACTTACTTGTGAAATCATCAACAATTAACCATCGGTTCGTTGATCGCTTCTAGTAATAATTAATATTGAGATGTTGACTAATTGTCATCTTAGCCACACTCCCCAACATTAATATAAAAATAGATTAACGGAAGAATTAATATTCAAGGAGAGAAGTTAAGAAAATAACTCACAACTTTAATAATCAACAAGCTTTAAGAGCAAAACCAAGAAATGGAAGTTTAGCCCCTCATTTGGAGACTAACCATAGCTAGAAAATATAAAGAAATGCTATTCTAAACTGAGTTTAAGAGTATGGAAGAAAGGATGATTAAAAGTGAAGAAAAGTGTGCTATTTATAGGTGTTTTCAACACCTTTGGCCGGATACCCGACCGGGTATCGGTCAAAATCAAATATTTGCCAACGATTTTTTGTTTTCAGCACGTCGTTTTGTCCCGTGTCACATCTGACCCGACTAGGCGAGGTAGGGGATCCGATCGGAACTGGCAATTTCTGAGCATCTTCAGTTTTCAGTTCTTACCCGACCGGGTGCAAGGTCCTACCTGATCGGTTTTTAGCTCCTGGGCAGTCAAATATCATTTTTCTTCACTTTAAAGTCCCCTTTTCCAACACCATAATTCCTAGCTCTACTTTACAACTTTCAAATGAAGATTAAAATACAATTATAACTAAAATCACACCAATGTTTACAAACTAAATAAAATGGTAAACAATCCACACAAATCAAACATAAAAACATACATTTATGCATTACTAATTAGTGCATATCAAACATGTTTGTTGAAATGACTCAATGAACTTTTTGCTCAAGTTCATGATTTTGTTCTCGTTTTTCCCGATGTACATTAGTGTTTAATGAGTTTTAGACTCTGTTTTTAGGTTTTTTTGTTTTACTATGGTATAGTAACTTTTTTTGACTATTCTTTGATTATTATGAATTTAGTAGATGATTTTTCTTTTAGGGCTTTATTTATTTCTACTTTTTCAAATTTTATGCATGTTATTATAGTGTTAAATGTTTGACTGTTTGTGTAACACCCCGGCCCTCCAAGACCCGAGATAGTTACTCCTGACCTCTACGGACCTCTAGTACTGTCCTCACAAACCGCCACTAGCCTTTTCCGCACACTTTGTCCTCACTCGTGCGCGCCCTGAGAAACTTCCCAGAGGATCACCCATCCCAATACTACTCCTGTGCAAGCACGCTTAACTTTGGAGTTCTTGGCTAATGAGCTCCGTTAAAAGGAGATGCACCTTGTTGGTATGAGTAGTACTATTAATCCTTTTAAATTAATCTCAAGTGTTACAATCACCCCACTTAGGAACGCAATGTCCTCGTTGCGCCCATAAACCAATCTCAATCATATCCCAGAATCTTTTCCCCCGCTAAGTGCCCGCCCGATATTCAACGGATCAGCACACTGTCGCAGGGTTGCTCTGATACCATTTGTAACACCCCAGCCCTCCAAGACCCGAGGTAGTTACTCCTGACCTCTACGGACCTCTAGTATTGTCCTCACAAACCTCCACTAGCCTTTTCCGCGCACTTTGTCCTCACTCGTGCGCGCCCTAAGAAACTTCCCAGTGGGTACCCATCCCAAGACTACTCCCGTGCAAGCACGCTTAACTTTGGAGTTTTTGGCTAATGAGTTCCCTTAAAAGGAGATGCATCTTGTTGGTATGAATAGTACTATTAATCCTTTTAAATTAATCTCAAGTGTTACAGTTTGGTTTCATTGTTATGGATGGGTATTGTTTATTATTCTAATTCCAATCGAATGGAATGGGAGGAACCGGGGATGGGGAAAGGGGAAATTTTATCCTAAATACTAAACCCCTGTCATCTTGATCATTTAAAATATCCACGAAAAATCTCCCCCTCTTTAAGTTATTATCAAATGGAATGGGAGGAATCGCGAATGGTGCACTGCAGCTGGTAATGCACTATTTCTTTCTTCCTTACTGGTATGATATTAACCTACGTAGCACTTCATGTCTGATTCAGACAACTCTGTGTAGCACATTAGCCCACTCTGATAGCTATTGCATGTGGCCAGACACTTCGTGTCTGGTTCCTAGACAATACCACTTAACAAATAATCCTGGAAGGAGGATAGGACCAAGTGCCAACCATCAAGATCAAAGTCTAATTAAAGAGTAAAAAAACTAAAATCAAGAAGTGCATCTAATTATAACCGATAATTACACAAAGGTCAAAGTTTAATTACACAAAGTAAATTCATCTAGTCTAACTTTTTCTTTAGTTCGCAAATCAGTGTGAAACTGAAAATAATGCATGTGTTATCAACACATTTGCCTTGTGGATGATCCATCCAAGCTTCCACAGCATAGCTACATAGTTCTCAATCTCTCTGCAAAAGAAAAGAGTTAATGTCACGCCCCGGACCGCATCCAAGCGCGTGTACAACCGCCGTGTGATCAAGTAACGTCACTCGCAAATCAATCCCTCTTAATCACACGAGGCGTTCATGAACATCGTTCACACCATACTCAGTAAGTAAACATACATAACAACATCACATAATAGATTGAATTAATATCGGAAGATATTCAACGGTCAATCATAAGCCACATATGGCAAAATGTAGGCTCGTAGGCCTAAAACAAAGTAATATGTAATAAAGTATCCATGAGCATAGTTTGTGATTTAAAACAGTAAAGGAAGCACGAACCACGTCTTCCTCTAGATTCTTTTCACCCGTGCAAAGGTGTAGACAACAGGCTCTAGCTTCAACCTGAAATGGTGCTGCCCCCCGAAGGGGTTAGTACAAGTACCGAGCGAGTAGCAAGCTAAATGTAAAGTAACTAAATACATAGGGTGATACATATACTTATACATCTTTACTCCCAGTTACAAAATACATATCGGTACTTATATACACTTGGAAATACTCGATCCGTAGGTCATTATTTATTTGGGAAAAATAATAGTAGTCAATGCCCTTGACTTCAAACCCCAACCCACCCATAGACCTATGAGTGTATAAGACTCCTCCTATCCAAATCAAATAATCATAAGGACACCGCCCGGTCCTGAATTACTAAACAGTAGTTTATGAGTTTTGAGGATACCTCCCGATCCTTGGGTACTCCACCCTATATAACCGAGTTTT